TAGGGAGGTATTCCCTGCGCAAGTACAATTTAAAGATTTCAGATTCAGCCTCCAGATGTTAGCGGTTCTCACGTGTGGGCACTTAAAAGTTTTGGCGGGAGAACTGATCACTGAACAGTTAGGTCATTTTCAGAGAACGGTCAGTTCGTCAAAGGAAAATTGTTCGTTTCTTTTTTGTAAAATTTAGGATTATTTACGCTAGTGAAAACTCACAAGGTAAGTGTAAAGCAACAACCATTCATGCAGTTAACGACCTGATTATTTCAAGTGTGACGCAAAAACGCATGATCGCACCGGCAAGCCTGGTGCATTCCAGTCTAGGTTTGTTTCAAACAACAATGCAGCAACTGCTCAAGTTAAAATGCTCATGTTGACTGCGTTCGACATGAATAACGACCAGTTCGACTTTATTCGATCTGAGGTGCTCTGTTTAATACTTTTCTGTGAAAACGAGATACTTCGATTCCATGTTCTTTCGTGCCATGTTCCTTAAAAATAGGTATTACCTAAATTTGGCTCCCCAGAAAAAGCGGTTTTTAACCTAATTCTTAATCAGTTCACTTTAAATGAGTCGTAAAATTAGCACCTTCCAGTGCAGTTTATTGCTTTTCATCGCAGTCTAGCGCTTGGAAGCTGAACTTTCCCATTACAGAACAGTTTATTGGTATGTTTTGTTTTGAACGGCATTGATCGTGTGCACTGTCGTTTTCCTGGCATAAACTGCTCCATGCAGCTCTATGTTGTACCATTTTTGTTTATTTTCAGTGTTAACGTTAATTTTACAGAAAAAAAAACAAAATTGTTCGGCGGCTTATTCATTGTTTCCGGAGTCAATGTTGCCTCAACAAACATTATTTTGCTGTTTTATTTTTCGGCGTCATATAGGCCTATACTTGTAAATAGTCCAGAAACGAAAGGCTCGGCATGACTGCGCCCGGTTCGTAGGGACATCCAATAATATCACGCGTTTTTATATGCATAAATTATAATAATATGTGTATACTGGTACTGGCATTTGTTT